TTGATATAGTTAAAAATATTAGCATTTAAATATTTGGAAGTTTTATTTTGAACGAAACAAATTACTATTATTTAATATATATTTTAGAGAATTTTAGAATAATGAATATCCCTTAAAGAAAATGATACATACAAAGGGAGGAATATGAATATCATGGGTTAATATTAAATCTTTTTTTAAACAAATCTTTTTCTAATAGAACCTACTCATCTGGAAAAGTCGAATGTTTAAAAATTTAAATCGAAACAGGAAAAACCCCAGGTGAAATTAATAAATCTTTTAATTATCCAAATTAATGTGACCTTCCACATAACAGGTAAATTCCAACATCTGGTTTTTTGGAGGTAGTGTGTGATTTTCAAAGATGGTAGACTTGCCTATACAAATTTACTTTCTGTAGACCAACATTTAAATACATTTTAACTAATTGCATTTCCATGAACCGATGGCAGGAAGGCATTTTCTGTGGCCAAAAAAAGAGAACCAGCTTGGGGCTGGAAAATTGTCTGGGGTGGACAGGGGATGTAGGTCAGCTGTAGAATACTTGCTTAGCATGATGAGGCCCTGGGTTCAATCTCCAGGGTGGCAAAAATAAAATAGTTTTAAAAAAAGAAGTTGCCTTTGAGTGTGAATGATGAATATACTGATAGTACATATCTAACTATAAAAAGCACCATTGTATGCATTTCTTAACTTCCATATGCCAAAAGTATAATGTATTTTATGGGGCTCAGAGGTGGGGGCGGCTCTAAGAAAAAAAAAGTGTGGATTGAACAGCTACTGATATACATCTTTGCATTTTTCTAAATTCTCTGACGTGGTCAGTCTTCAACCAAGCCTGAACTATTGGCCTCCTTTAGCCATTACACTGTCTATAAAAGCACTGATTTACAGTAAGCAACCGAAAACTGGCTACACAGGAAAAGCAGTTCTGGGAAGACTATCTTTTGCTCCTCTTCGCCCTTAACCCTCAACAGGTTCGAATTACTGTTGTAGGCTCATTCTGTTTTCAGTACAGGGGTAGATCCTAATATTTGTGTCAAATTTGAGGACCTTTCCTCAAGAATTTGTGATATTATTTCTATTTTCAGGGCTAAAAATCTAGCAGAATTATCTCCAATATAAGGCTTATCATAGTTCAGGAATTTAATCAATAGCTTTGAGTACCACAGAATTTACAACCCATGGAATATAATGTGCTTTTCAATATTATGTATATACCTTACTGTAGGAAATAGGCTCTTGTTCATTTCATTATTATAGTATCTGTGTTCTTGTTTGTTCATTTACTCTTTCAGTGTCACAGCTGTGTTTCTGTGCCTCTTTCTTCCTTTAGACCAGGAGAGAGAAAGATATCTAAATAAGTTGACAGAATTTCACGTTATGCTATGCTGTGGTATGGAAAGCAAGTAGGCTTAAAAGAAGTTTGAACAAACTTTTTATTTTAGTGTATTTTTTTTCCCATACAGATTAAAAAGCAGAGCTAGGCATGGTGGTTATTCCCAACTACTTCCAGCAATTTGGGAGGCTGAGACAGGGTTCAAGGCTAGCCTAGGCAATAGGGCAACCTCATCTACTCACATTTTGTTACATTTATACTTGTTATAAACATTATACTTTGGAGTATCTGSTCTTACATTGTTTTCTACCTCTCTAATTTTTTTAGGAAAAATTTTCAATTATACGTGAAGTTTATAAAAAGTCAATATTCAAAAATTAATTTCATAAATAACTACTTTTCCAACATGATCTGATATGTAAAGTGTAATGAAAACACAGATATGTTTCAAAGGCTTGATTTGTGGTTTACATTTAAAAGTCAGGCATTTATTTTATGGAGTTGTTCATCAAATTAAATTTTATTTGGTCTCTCAAAATTTTATATTGTTAAATTGTTATTGGTCAAAATGAATGTAGTTAAATCATAAAACTTGCTCCCTGGCAAGAAATCTAAGCATTGAATGGTTAGATTCTCTTGTATCATTTTAAATTTTAGGACTCCCAAAAAAGTATGAATTAATTGGAATTATATAGGAATGAGATTCCCACAGAAAGAAAGCAATGGTACATTTTTCCAGTAACTTACTGTCAGTACTTTTATACTTTTTTGCCCCTTTGTGTGAAGGGTGAAAAAAAGGTAGATTATTAACTCTAAAAACAAACATCAACCAATTCAAGTAGCTTTGGATTATGGTTAATTTGCTAAACCAATAGTATAGAGGTCAACAGGCCCTACTTCGAGGAGCTTACTTAAGGGGAATATTTAGATTCTGACCTTTTACTTTCCAAGGTTCCAATGGATGCTGAATAAAAGTAGTAATCATTCTGAATAAAAATAGTAATCATTCTGTATTATGACACCTCTGATACTAGTTGTATTTTGTTTATAATCTGCATGCTGATGATTTTCCAAACAGGATTAAAAGTATCACTTGCACAATAAGTTTATAAAATAGTTTAAATTACGTCAGGGAGTAAAAGAGGACAAAGAAGACTGGAGACTGAATAAGATTGTTGTAGCAGTTGAGGGGCATCATACTGGCTTCCTTAAATATCCATTTGATCTATATTTCCTGGCCACACTATTTAGCTTACAAAATGGATTCTAGTAATGACTGTTAAGAGAAAAAGGAAAAACAATGGTCACCACTTTTGATATATCAGTGTCTCTGCCTGCATATCTCTGGGGCTATTATTCAACTTGTAGGTTCATTCTATAAAACCTTTTGTTAGAGCTGTGATGTTGCTCTGGATGCCAAAGAGCCAAGTGTCTTAAGATTTTTGTGGATAATCTGAATGTTCTAATTTTCTCATGAATTTGTTGTTTATTATTCTAACACTATCAATTACTTTGTGTCTATTTATCCAAGGATGTGTCCCTTTCCTTATTTTTAACTTTTAATCGTTGAGAAATAGTTTTGAGAATGCAATCATTTCTTTTTCCTCTCCCCCACTCCTTCAATGTGGTGGTGAAACATGTATTTCTCCTTACATCTGTCTCCCCCCAACAGCCCCAGTTTTTTTTTTTTTTTTTGAGAGCATTTATATATTTCTCTAATTTGAAACATGTCAAACTGAAATTAGGCCTTCTAACAAAAGACTGGAAAGCCCTAGAATTCATCAAAAGCATGGATACAACAATAGACTTCATGGAATTAAAAATCTCTAGTTATCATAGGCTAGCCTTGATCTCATGATCATTCATCAGGACACAGAAGGTTAAGGAAAAAGTAGAGAACACCACTAGTGTTTCTAATAGGATATTCCAATGTTATTTCAGTTTCAGGAATTTCATGCGCTCCCCTTTTCACTTCATTAGCAATTCAACATGTCTGATTTGCCAACACAATACTTTCAACTTACTTTACCCATTTGACCTGGAACAAAGTGAAAGCACATTTTGCCCAGTTGAAAGGTCTCCTGGCAAGTTGGTTAGCAACAGGCTTGCCAGTTCTGGTTCAGCTAGCAAAGAACAAACACATTTCATTAAGACAATATCTAGTGTATTGACTTCCTCACTATGCATTTTCTCTTTTATTTTCTTGAACCATTTTCCCCACTTGTAAGTTTTTTTTTCTCGTAATCTGAACAAGATTTCCAATTTCTTGAGAGCAGAAATGTCTACATTTCTTCGTGATTGTGGCAGTGATTAACAGTTTAACTGCAAAGAACAGGTACAAGAAAAAGTTTATTTAAAGGGAGGCAAAAAGCGACACAATAATCTTATATCTTCCTTAGGTAGTTCAAAAGTTGTGGCTTGTTACATACCAATTAACGAATCAGGCTGAAGCATCTACAAGTACCAATTTTACTGTAATGCTCTAAAATTTGGTCACTTGGGAATAACTTAACTTGTAGCACTGTAAGTACAGATGGGACACGAAGGTTCTTGGACAAATGCGGGCAGGCGCTGTGCTCTGCCTGTAACTTAACGACGTCAAGAGCAGGACGCCCAGAAACTGTTCCTCTGAGAGCGGCTCGCGTCCCCAGCGCACCAGATGCACCTGGACGCGGGACACCCGGGAAAGAGCAAGAACGTCCCTTAGCACTACTCTCCAGGCGAGGACCAAGCAGGAGGAGGCAGAGGACTGACTCCAGACTTCTGGGTCCCCGGGTGTCCTGTCTCCCGAAGATACCTGCATAACTTAGTAGAGCAGCTAAGCACTAGTACATTTTAAAGTACATTTATGGTCGTCACGGTGCACACGAAAAGCTTGCGTCTGTCCCCCAGAGCGCGCAGGGCCTCGGAGCCTGGAAACAAGCCCCTCCCAGCGCAGCTGTCGCTGCCGCCTGCGGGCTCCTTTCACTTTCTCACGGCCAAGTCACCCAGAGGGGCGCCGCTGCCGCCACCGCCACTGCGCCCGAGGACTCCGCCCCGTGCCGATTTGCTACCGGCCCCCGCCCGCCAGAGCCCCGCCCACCACAATACTCTTTGCCTGTGATTGGCACGAGCGGGCGGCAGCTCTGGCTCGCCTCTCCCATTGGCTAGAACACCCTGTCAGTCCAACTCTTGCCCACCGCCCCCTCCGCCCTCCCGAAAAGCAGTCCTCCTATTGGGAGAGTCTGCGGGCTGGGGGCGGGCGGGGAGCGCCAGTCCTGCGGCTTTCGGTCAATCGCAGACGCCCATCGCAGGAGGGAGGGAGGCGGGGGAGGAGAGGGGCGGGCTAGGGGAACATCTGGCCGGCGCCGCCGCGTGCGTGCGTGGTGCGTCCTCCCGCCCCCTCCCCTCCCCCGCCCCCCCGTGCCCCCCCCCCCCCGGCCGGCGGCTCGCGTTCGCTCCCTCGCTCGCTCCCTCGCTGTGTCTGGCAGGCTGCGGCCGCCGCTGGGCTGCTGCCATGGGGAGCCGTTGAGAGTGGGGCCCTCTTCGCTCCGTCGCGCTCCTCCGGCTGCCAGCGGGGTGGGCGGGAGGGAGGGGCGGGGGGAGCGGGCAACGGAGCCGGGATTGGGGGGTGGGGGGGCCGGGAGGGAGGGGGGCAAGAGGAGGAGGAAGCCCACCAAGTCCGGCGGCGGCGGCGGCCGGGAGGAGGAGGAGGAGGAGGAGGAGGAGGCGGAGGACGCGGCGGCAGCGGGGACGCGGTGACTTAGGGCCGCTCCGTGTGAGTCCCGGTGCCGGCCCCTGGCCCCTGACCCAGCGCCCCCTCCGCCCCCTGGCCCCTGGCGGGTGGGGGCGCAGCTGTGCGGCCCCGGCCGGCGGGGCAGTGCGGGCGGAGGGCGGGCCGGGCCGGGGGTGCCCCCGTGAGTGGAGTTAGTTTGTGTGGTTGGAGCTGTTGGGGCGGCGGGGGGCGGCGCAGCTGCGGGAGGCCCGGGCTCGGGGACGGGGCCGCTGCAGCTGCGGGGTCGGGCGGGGTGCGGGCTTGCCGTCTCCGCGCCGCGCCCCCGGGCCGGTGCAGCTGCGGCGCGGGGCGGGCTCCGGGCCGGTGCAGCTGCGGTGGCGCCTCTCGGGTGCGGAGGGCGGCGGGCTGGGGGAGGGGGCTTGGGAGCCGCCGCAGCTGCAGTGGCGCCCGGGACGGCCGCGGCTCCGGGGACCGGTGCAGCTGCAGTGGCGCCCGGGGGGAGGGGTCCGGCGGGGGAGGGGGCCCCTCCCGGGCTGGTGCAGTTGCCGGGAGGCCCCGGGAGCTCGCGCGCGGTGGCGTCGGGGAAGCGGTAGCAACCACCCTCCTCCCCTCGGCTTCTTCTTACGACTTTTCTTTTGTTGTTGCCTTGACCCGGGTCTGTTTTCTCCGCTGTTGTTTAAGGTGTTTTCCTGCTGCACCGGCTCTACGCCTTCCACCTCCTTCCCTGTGGTTTTAACCTTCCTCTTTCCCCGTGTGCCTTGCACAGAGAACTACGTAAAGATTTGCATTTCTTCCCCACTACCTACTCGGCACCCCCGCCTCCACCTCTTTGAAAAACAAAACACCAACCTCTCAAAACCTCTATGGATCCTCCGGTAGAGAGATGTGAAGGGGTTGGTTTGTGGAGTGGGAGTCGCTGGCCCATTGCGGTGCTTGGGGCTCATTAAACTGTCACTCACCCCCCACCCCACTGGGTAAATGGGGTGATTAATGCCTGATATATTGGAATGGGGCAAGGGCATTTGTGGAGAGTAGGTTGTGTAGCTGGGAAGGAATTTATCTCCAAAGAGTAGTTCCTGAACTTAGCGTTCATAATTATGTCATTCACCACGAACTTAGGGAAAGTTAGGTTTGTGACTTTGGGAAAGGGAGGACAAGAGAGAGTGTTGGGTTTTGCTACTCTTTGCCACGGTTTTCTAAGAAGAACCATGTGGTTATCTCTGTGGGGGTGGGCGGCTGGGACACTTGCCCCTGAGGCCCCAGTTCCTTTTCTAGTCCTTAACCTCCCAAGAGTCTGTGATGTGTTTGACATTCATAATTGTCGCAGCACCTTGCACGGCACTGGTCAGCCCAGCTTTGCTGAGCCCAGCCCGGGTTACATTACAGTTTCATCAGCCACTAGAAAAGACCCACAAACTCTAACTAAAAAGTTCCCCAACTTAAGAGACTTAGGTTCCTCTCCGCCCCCCCCCCCTGAAAGGTTTTCTTGTGATCATGAACATTACAGAGTGATCCAAAATAACTAAATAAAAAGATTGTTATGGGACAGAGATCAAGGGGAAGACAAGGTTCTGCTTTTCCTGAGCAGACAGATCAGATATACAGGTGCAGCATTCATTTTAAGTAACTATAGCAGGTTGCATTAGTTTATTAATTTTTCTCATTGAACTGAAATACTTTCCAGGATTTCAGAAAGTGCAGTTTCAGCTTTGTTGATACCGAGAATTGAAATTTGCATTAACTGTGGCAGTGTGAGAAATTTTCCGAAGAAGGTAGTTGTAGATAAGTTGTTGAGTAAGAATGAAATAATAAGGTGAGCCAGGCTGAAGTAATAGTTCTTAATAAGTCTGCCAACATTTCGGAGATATATACCATTATCTCTGCAGGAAAAAAAAATGCTGTAATAATGTTGAAATGGGACTGGAGATGTCAAATGGGTTGGTTTAAAAATATCCCTAAGCTGTCTTTGAAACTAAACGTTGGAGTTGAATAAAAGTGAATCTGGATTTCCTGAATAGCACCGTGGCTTGAGTGTGCTGTCAGTATGTAAGCCAGTCCACCAACTTAAGACAGAAGTGTTGCTATTCCATAAATACAGTAGAACTCCATATGCTGAGTTTTTCAATTTCTTCTGTTAGAAAGTTTAGAAAAAAAGGAAGACTTTGAAGTATTTTGTTTATACTAACAGAAGAGAAAAGTTCTCCTAAGAAAAAGCTGGTGGCAGGAGTGTAGAGGAGTAGCATATGGCATTAAAAGGAGCACAGCTGGAGGTAGCATTTCCATCTGAACATGATGTCAGAGCAGCTGACAGCCTGCCATCCCTCAGCCTTTTATTCTAACACACAGACAGGGAGTTAGTGTGTGCGGATCTGTGGTGGAGAAGGTATCTCATTCCTCTCTAACATCATCTCCACTTTGCATCTGTCTCTCTTAGTCTGCTTTTTTTCCACCGATGTAACAGACCTGGAGCCAGCAAGACTCAGAGGAAAGGACTTAATCAGGTTTATGTGTCCTAAAGGTAGGAGTAGCAAGAGATTAGATTGAGCATATTTCTGTTTTGGTGTTTTGTTTATTTAATTGTAAAAAGATCACATTACTTTTCTAACCCATTTAGGAATAATATATGAAATTGAGTATTAAGTAACGATCTTACTGGAGTTGAAAGTCTTATGCTTGCTTAGTGTTAATTTTTATCCCTTTTACTTGAGCAAGTAAATAACTTTAATACACTGAAATATTTCAAGTTTTGAAATGTTAAGAAAGGCTTTGAAATATTGCTTTTGAGATCACTTTGGATTAAAATGCTTTTTTGTTCACTGCTCTTTTAGATTCCTTTTGCTTGGGGGGAGGCAGAAATAGTAAACTGTCTGGAATTCAGCATTCAAACTTATATGAGAAGATTATTCTAGTTAAGAAGCTAGATTGTTGTGTAATTAATTCCACTGTGAAACTTTATTCTTCAAAACATTCAGCAGCACTACTGAAACATACAGCTGTAGTGCTTTTGAAACCGGAGGTTTTTTAAGAAGAAGGGGGAAAAAAAAAAACTTTTGTCCTCAGGAGAATAGTTTGGTTTCCTCATTTCTCTTTCAAATATATATTTAAGAGATCTTTTATTTCAGCATAACAATAATTATTTGCAGGAGTTTTTGTGTTAGCGACTAATTTAGAACTTGTAGATTTGAGCTGCCTGAATTGGCCAGACAGCTGTAATCGCACTCCTCTATTCTTAATCTCTTTATCTGGGCAGCAGCTGCCATATGGCCACAGTCAGCTGGATCAGATGTTTATAAGCTTCCTTCTTCGTCCCTCTCTGTCCTCTCAGCCTCCTAATTTGATCACGGCTACCTTGTGAGCTGCCCTCCAATCTTTATTTTTAGCCCTCTCGAGGATTAGGATTGATGTTAGCTGTGGGGCACTTAAAGTGATTGTATTGTAAATCTTGGTTTTTTCTAGCGGTGGCATCTTGCAGAATGTATCTGGGGTTAGGATGAAAGTTTTAATCTATCTTGAGCAAACTATAGGAGGAGGAGGAAAGTAATTTGTGAATATTAAATTAATCCACATCCATTCCCAAAATGCACTTGCTTAGATGGATGGTATGGAGCCTTCGTCTGGTCACAGAAAAGGGGAAGTCAGATTTTTCTTTATTTTTAAGGAGTTTGTCCATCACAGTTGAATTTTGACCCTTTGTACATTTTCCGTCTGTCTTATCTCTCTCACCCTCCCTCACCAGAAAAAAAGGCAAAGATGCATAGGTAAAAGAAGCTAGTGGGAAAACAAAATATATCAAATTATATTGAAACAAAGTATTTTCTGTTAGCAAAGGTGAGGCAGAGCTACCAAAAAATTTTTTTTTTGTCAACTAATTTAAAAAATGTTTAAACCTGTAAAGCTTTGGGGTTTCATTTGAGTGATATGCCTTTATTTTTTAAAGTTTGAATTAATTTTTAATATGGAACTTGTTTTGTCTTGCAGCAGACCAAAGTTTAGATGAGAATTTTCACATTTAAATAAAACCCCTATGATTCCTAATAGCATTGAAGCACAGGTTCTACAAAGAAACAGAACTCCCCCCCCTCAATTTGTTTAAAAAAAAAAATCTTTGGATTTGTTCATAGTAAAGATGATCTTTTCCATCTGTTGGTGTAGTTCCTTCTGATCTCGTACATGTGTGCTATACCTGCAAATCTTAAGGCATTAACATCTGTTTTTATACACAGTGCTTTTGTTGTTGTAACACTCTGACTTTAAAAGTAAGTTGTTTGCTAATTTCTGGACTAATTATGCAATTTCATTTTTTTTCTTGATTCAGCCAAATGTGTGTATTCAAACTGCCTTCTAAGTACAGTCAGGTATCGAAAGTATACAGTAAAAAGAATGGTTGAACAAGTTTTCTTAAATCTTCCTGAATATATCTGGGACTTTCCTTTGTTTATTATGTGAGTTATTCCCCTTTGAAATTAAAGTTACCATGTAGATTTTGTGGGACATACTTTGATGAGAGAGTTAGTCAAGTTTCTTTTGAAAGAAATCTGAATTCTTGTTTCCAGTTAAGAGGCTGTGGTTAAATGAAGGCTTTTAAAACTTGACCAAAGTTCAGGGAAGGTGGAGATGCATCAGAGGCCGTTTGGCTAGGGTAAGGAAGTTCGGAAAGTGTACGCTTTTCTTCTGGCATTTTGGTCTTGTGTGTGTGATCTGGTAGTCTCTGGGTCATAAGCCTGATTAACATTCAGGGACATGTACTTCGGCAGCCAAGGCAGAATTTTTTTTTTTTTTTTTTTTGGTGGGGACTAAGAGTGCTGAAAAGTTGTTCATGACCATGCTCTAATGAGAAATTCCTCTTTTCCCAGGTTATGAAGACAGTATGGAGTTTCCAGACCATAGTAGACATTTGCTGCAGTGTCTGAGCGAGCAGAGACACCAGGGTTTTCTTTGTGACTGCACTGTTCTGGTGGGAGATGCCCAGTTCCGAGCGCACCGAGCTGTACTGGCTTCATGCAGCATGTATTTCCACCTCTTTTACAAGGACCAGCTGGACAAAAGAGACATTGTTCATCTGAACAGCGACATTGTTACAGCCCCGGCTTTCGCTCTCCTGCTTGAATTCATGTATGAAGGGAAACTCCAGTTCAAAGACTTGCCCATTGAAGACGTGCTAGCAGCTGCCAGTTATCTCCACATGTATGACATTGTCAAAGTCTGTAAAAAGAAGCTGAAAGAGAAAGCTACCACTGAGGCAGACAGCACCAAAAAGGAAGAAGATGCTTCAAGTTGTTCAGACAAAGTTGAGAGCCTCTCTGATGGCAGCAGCCACATGGCGGGCGACTTGCCCAGTGATGAAGATGAAGGAGAAGATGAAAAATTGAACATCCTGCCCAGCAAAAGGGACTTGGCGGCTGAGCCTGGGAACATGTGGATGCGATTGCCCTCAGACGCAGCAGGCATCCCTCAGGCTGGCGGAGAGGCAGAGCCACACGCCACAGCAGCTGGAAAAACAGTAGCCAGCCCCTGCAGCTCAACAGAGTCTTTGTCCCAGAGGTCTGTCACCTCCGTGAGGGATTCGGCAGATGTTGACTGTGTGCTGGACCTGTCTGTCAAGTCCAGCCTTTCAGGAGTTGAAAATCTGAACAGCTCTTATTTCTCTTCACAGGACGTGCTGAGAAGCAACCTGGTGCAGGTGAAGGTGGAGAAAGAGGCTTCCTGTGATGAGAGTGATGTTGGCACTAATGACTATGACATGGAACATAGCACTGTGAAAGAAAGTGTGAGCACTAATAACAGGGTACAGTATGAGCCGGCCCATCTGGCTCCTCTGAGGGAGGACTCGGTCTTGAGGGAACTGGATCGGGAGGACAAAGCCAGCGATGATGAAATGATGACCCCGGAGAGTGAGCGTGTCCAGGTGGAAGGGGGCATGGAGAGCAGTCTGCTCCCTTATGTCTCCAACATCCTGAGCCCTGCGGGCCAGATCTTCATGTGCCCCCTGTGCAACAAAGTCTTCCCCAGCCCCCACATTCTGCAGATCCACCTGAGCACTCACTTTCGTGAGCAGGACGGCATCCGCAGCAAGCCCGCTGCCGATGTCAATGTGCCCACGTGCTCTCTGTGTGGGAAGACTTTCTCGTGCATGTACACCCTCAAGCGCCACGAGAGGACTCACTCGGGGGAGAAGCCCTACACATGCACCCAGTGCGGCAAGAGCTTCCAGTACTCGCACAACCTGAGCCGCCATGCTGTGGTGCACACCCGCGAGAAGCCGCATGCCTGCAAGTGGTGTGAGCGCAGGTTCACGCAGTCTGGAGACCTGTACAGACACATTCGCAAGTTCCACTGTGAGTTGGTGAACTCCTTGTCGGTCAAAAGCGAAGCACTGAGCTTGCCTACTGTCAGAGACTGGACCTTAGAAGATAGCTCTCAAGAACTTTGGAAATAATTTTATATATATATATAAATAATATATATATATACATATATATACATAGATCTCTATATAGTTGTGGTACGGTCTAAAAGCAGTCTTGTTTCCTGGAACTAAAAAGTTGGGATCTTAACTTGTTTTTGCACTTTAGAATAATAGCATGAGAATCTCACTAATTTAGCATTCTGATAAAAGAAACTTAGAGCAAGTCTGAGAATAGAGAGGTGTCTTTCCTTTGAGGGGTAGGCAAAGTAAGCCAATAAGAAACTTCTAAACAAATCGTCCTATCACAAAAATGCTTTCATACGGCTTAATTTTGTCAATACAGTGTTGTCTTTTGAGCTCTTTTTGTGCCCCACATTTGTTTTGTTTTGTTTTGTTTTTGTTTTTTAAAGTAAAAAGAAATTCCCTCCAGTTTTATTAGCCTCTATGTCTCAAATTGCATGAATCTTTTCTGGCTGTTGGAAACCTGAATGCTTTTAGACCCAAATGGAAAATTTCTGAAATGCTGGATTATCTATTTTTAAACAAGCAGTTGACTTAAAACTTTCTGTGGCAACTTCTGGTTTTCTGACGGTTCCCAATGAGAGAAATTCTGCAAGTACACTGGGATCACTGGGATACTGTCTTTGTGAAGGTTTGCTTGGGATGAAAAAGGATATTGCAGCTTCAGCAGTGTTGAACTGTGTGTTTAAAAATGTGAATTACTGTTCTTGTATACTGTAATTGATTACATGGGCTGGGGGGGGATGTCAAAGAACTTGACAGGTTGTGTTGATGCTCTTAGTTGAGTCTTGAAAAGTAAATATTAACGCTACAGAAATGCATGAGTTCAATATATTTTTTGTCTTTGTTTGCATTGTATAACTTTAACGAGTGAGTTTAAAATTATTTAATTTCCTTAGAAAAATAGCACCATTTGGAAAAAAAACTGGTGTTATGAAGAACGTAAATGCACTGTTTTTTTTTATTTTATATAATTTAAATTGACTTTCCCACTGTCTTTAAGTTGAACTGTTAAGCTGAATAAAAACTTAAGCTGCAAATTGATAACTTTGCTACATAACAAGGAACATATAAATGTTTACAAACGGCTTAAAGATTTGCATGTGCAGTGTGCATTTATAACAAACTTCTAATTGCACAAAACCCATACCAGCTCAAAGTTTAGGTGTACACATTTACCCAGTTGAGCATTTTTAGAATAACTACTGCACAAATTGACAATAGGTCATTTTCTCTGTTTTTTTTGCTCCTCTTTTCTTTTTCTCCCCTTCTTCCTTACCCTCCCTCCCTTCTCCCCCCCCCCCCCCAAACTCATGAAAAGATTCTATGGACTGAAAAAGCCCCAGGCTGAAAGGACTGGACTGCCTTGATTGACATGGGGAAGGGGGTTAGTAGACTATGTGTATCGGCAGCAGAGGCTGCAGCCCAACGTGTGGTTTTAATGACCAGCACACAGGGCAAAAGCATTTTGCACAGTGTTTGTTTTCCTGTCTTGCACTTACAAATAAGGTCTATGGGAGTAGCATGGAAAACGTTTGCTGTTTTTCCCTTTTTTTTTTTTATTGCTTTTGTTTAAAATTTGATCGCCTTAACTACTGTAAACATAGCCTATTTTTGTGCTTAAGATACTGAATGGAAAACTCCATTGTGTGTTGCTGGACTGTTTTGGAAATATTTGGTCAAATGTGTGTTAATTTGGCTGTAATGGCATTTAAAGCAAACAAACAAACAAAAAAAAAAGCTGTGAAAATGGCCTTGGAGCATTATCTTTAGTTACTTGAAGAGTTTCTAGTTTTTTTAAATACAGTTTATGTTAAAATAATTTTTATTAATTTAGAGAAGACAATCAATGTCTGTGAGAAAACGGACTTTCTTTTGGATTTTCTTTTTGTGGTCATCGTGAGTGATTGCTTTTTCCTTTTCTTAGTTTCACATTCTTCCTTTGTTCTAAAACTTAGACTGACATCTAGCTTTGACAATCATAGTATGTTTTATTTTCCTGAGGGGGGAATAACTTATAATGCTGTTTAGTTTTGTACTATTGGTGTGTTGGTGAATTTTTAAACTGTGTGCTAACTGCAATAAATTATATGAACTGAGAATTTCCTGTGTGTGGTTTTGTATTACGATCATGTAGGTTCTAAGTATGTATAGTACATGGCATCTTTAATATCAGTTCAGAGTTTATGAAATTATTAGAATGCCTTAGGTGGCCAAATGGATGTGTGGAAGTGTTCTAGCCATTTAATATGAATGCACATTACAAAAAAAATATGACCCATTTTCTATAATCCAGATCAAGAATGTTGAGGTTATTCCCTAGAAACTACAAATCCATGAAACTTCAAGTGGCAGCATACACTTTTCATGATACACCATTACAACTACTAATCCACGCACAATGTAAGTCACTTTTCATGTGTAATTTTATCTTAAGTTGATTGATCAAATCTGTTCTGATTTAAGTGGAAAATTGAAGGAGACCGGATGTCTTAATTTGGAAGACTGCTTGGCTAATGAGTGGAATTCTTGGCAATTGAATTAGCAGGCATTCAATTSTTCAAGGTTAGCTATATACATCTTTTTTTGTTTGTTTCTGGGAGAATTTGAAAGGTCTCAGGTTTTAATTCTCAAAGTTTTATTTTTWAAAAAAAATGTATTTAAATCATGTACCCTTAAAAGAACTGGTCCTACTTCTTGGGATGTTGGGTTTTCTACTTCGTGGGTATTTGTCAGGGTGAGAAACAATGTTGGTTGACCTGGGGAATTGAGAACACAGGTGTAGATAGCACTACCTTGGAATTGTCAATATAGAGGGCCCTAAATTGCATGCAAGCCCAGGCACTGACCTGACAGGTTTTGTAAATCCTGAACTCTCTAATTGTCCATAACTTTCAATCCTAAAGATAAACATGAAAATAGTAATTTTACATTACTATTGTCAAAATTAAATGCATTTTTATTTTGGCCTATAAAAAGGTTAAAAGTCTATAGAAATGGAATAGATTTAAAAAGCATCATGTATAAATTTTGACTTTGGATGGGAATCCACAGATTTTATCATAAAGCAAAAATATAATTAAGAATCCTATATTTTTTAATTGAAGAAACAATATCTAATTCATGCAACTCACATTTTAACCAGCCAACATTTCACGTGAAAGGAAATGTACATTAGGCCTCCATGTAATAATTTCTTGAGCAGCTACAAGCTTAAAAAAAGATGATGGGGAGCCACTTTTTAGTCTCCTGTAGTAAGTAGTTACAAATATCTTAAAGCTTCCTGAAGATGTTGAGAGTTCTCCTTATCATCTGACCATCGAATTTTTAATGAGCAGTACCTTAAGCTTAATGGATATGCTCATAAAAACAATATTTTGACATGCAATTTGGTAGTAACTTTAAAACAATTTGCAGAACTAGTACAGAATGTTAATTATACCAATTGCCATATTTGATAAGTGAGATGCAAAATCATTTGTTTATATGCTGCTTATAAGAAAGATAATCAATTTGTCAGATAATCATGTTGGAAACCATTAAAATTGATCCCTCCTTTGACATCTGGCTGATCCATAAGCACATTTTTAAAATGTGGTTTCACTTACTTTTGGAAACATCTGTTTCTTTTGGATAATCAATTATGCCCTGGATTGCTGTGGGCCCAGCATTATGTGCTAGGCGTACCCTAGGGAATATCTAAGAAGTATAAAATGTTAAAAGATACTAGTTTTAAATTTCTAGTTAATTATGCTACCAGATCAATAGGGAATCAGGTGGAGTTTTTCTTTAACAAACTTGTCATGAATATCTACAAGCAAGTATATAGAAGATAAGAATTAGGTGGACACTCTAATTATATAATAGCTCACACTAAATTGGCTGAAATACTTATTTTTGCAAGTAAATCTTTTGTTTGAACTACTATCAAAGAAAACAGGATTTTTTTTTAAGCCAAGAAGTAATTCTTGAACTTTCAAGTTTTATAGATAACACACAAACTATATAAAAACTTGACTGGAAATCTCATTGTATTAGATAAGAATTTTGTTAAAGATCTTAAAAATCTCCTGCATTGCATGATATTTTTTATCCTTACAGCTTAAAATATTCTTCGATTTCTCACGTAACAGGGGAAACTTATGCATGCTTCTGGATAGAAAACTCAGGTAATTGAAAATTTTAATTTGTAGATACAAATCTAAACTTTTATTACCATTTGTTAGAATGTTTGAATCTTCTGTTAAGGTTCAGTGAATCAAGCAAGTGTGAATTTTGAAGTATGGGACAGAAAAGCTCCATCTTTTTATTGAAGTTCTTCACCATTGAAATGTTAGAGATAATATCAATAAAAATAAAGGAGTAGTTTTATTTTTTTTAAGGAAATAGCTTTTAGGAATTTTATTTTGGCTAGAATCCAAGCATATTACTGATAGGATTTTGTCCTTTATGTTAAAGCTTTTTCTATCTTTTGTCTAGAAGAATGGCAAAATATCTTCGTATGTGATGCTTTGGTCTAAGATCTAGAACTACTTACGTTTTGATTCCAAGTCAATTTAGTTCTATAAAAGGATTTATATGTTTCTCACCTTCCTCACCCCTGTTCAGACTTTCTTAATACGAAAGAATAGAAAAGTAGTCAAATTTTAATGATGGCAACTAGAAATTTTTAAAAATCTTTATTTTCAGAGACACTAGAAATTAAACAGCATTTTTGCAAACAAATTTTAAAAAGAAAAATCTTCACTAATTAACTCTGTATTTCTTGAAAGAGGCCGAATTCTAAAACGTTATAACAAGGAAGGGTGAGGACATAGAAGTGAGTCATTGGCTTGAAGAACAGTTTTTTGTTTGTTTAAGTCTGAATACCTTATAATTTATCTGGTTACATCAAATAAATTGTTGAACTAATTATCAAAATAATTCAGGCACATAGAATAGCTTTTTCCTAAAATATTTAAGCCCTTGAAAGAAATCAGCTTTTTTGGGGGGGGACGTGGGGGGACAGCTGGGGGGAGATGAATTATCCAGTTACCTTTCCTAACTCTATTCTAATATTTACTAATTTGATGTTCATCGTGAAGCCTTGCTTTATGTGAGAGTGATATTTTCTTTGGATGAAGGGTAGTTTAGAATAAAAAACAATCTTTCAAATCTGGAAATTTTCTTGAATCTGTGTCCCCAAATAAGGTGCCTCCTTTTCTAATCTTTAGGAATGGGTTTGTAGTTAATCCTGCAGTTTGCAATAGGAAACATTCTCTCTTGTTAGCTTGGCAGGAGAGGAGTGAAAACCCAATTTGGCTTTAAAATGTAGCACATTAGTCAGTAACAGTTTCAGTGAGGATATTTAGAGTGGCTTTGAGAGGCCGTGTGACACCCATAGAGAGTCCATTCACGGAAACGACTGACTTACAGTTTATTATGATCTCTACAGTTAATCATTAAATCAAGTGGCTGTTATTAAATGTCAATATGCATGTTTAATATGACTATATAGGAATTTTTAAAAAGTCATTTGCCCCTAATATTCAAGTTTATAAAATGTATATCTGTAGTTAATATGAAGCATTGCATGAAAAAGATGTATTTGAATATTGGTAAACATACAGGATAGATTAAATCTGTTATTCTAATATATAATTCATATATAATAGTACGGAACTTGAAAGACTAGCATCTTATTTATGTGCACTATGCCAAACTAGAGCTAACTTTTGATACGTGACAAAACTTAGAAGAATGTATCCTAATCATGTATGATTTATAAATATAACTAAAAAGTATTTATTCAAAAAGGACATTCATTTCGTTTAAAAAATCATACTTAATGCATTTCATCTTACCTTTGAGAAAATTATTAAATAACATAATATTTTTGGAAGTCTAATGTTTTGAAATAATTTTTGACCAAAGTAAGAATATTTAGACTTTTCATTTGAGTCTTAAAACAGATTCAGAATAAACCTTTTCTGTGGACCTTTTCTTTGGAACTGTATTACATACATGAACTCGTCGGTAATATTGAAATGCCAATTGCATGTTTACTAGACAGATAGCAATGCCTTGTAACAATGTCTATTTGGATACTTTTTGGAAAAGCACCATAGTACAAAAATAGTTAAAACATTGAATAAAAGTATTCGAAGCTTCTGAGCCATACCTACCATAGAATTAGTGCCATCTATTTATATTTAGTATTCAAAAACCTATTTTTCTAATTTGTAATAGATTCTATGTCACTTAAAAATCCTCATCAGATAGAAGAAATTTTAGCATAGACTAGACCTCAAGAAAACCTAATGTAAAAAGTTATTTCTATAACTACCTGGTTCTGAGAAAGAGCTTCTTGTGCTTACACAGGTGACAGGAGGGAAGAAACTCACAGGGTTATATTCAAAGCATAATCATTTTACATTGGCCCTTAGTGTAAAATTCTTCTTCAAAATCCCCAAGATTTTGCAACTGAATAAACTGAAGGAAACCAAAGTCTGACAGATGGAATGTTCCTTTAGTTTTTGATTTTTTTTTGTTGAGACTGAAATTCATACTTTGTAGTCTGCTCTCTATTTTTCCTCAGTGTCCTTCTCTTTACTATAAGAGGGTAAATTTTATGCATCGAGTGATTTTGATGCTGTTGCACAGCTGAATTTTCCAGCCAAGTTGATGTGATATCTGACTTTCTACCACTTTGAAAAAAATGGAAACAAATTTGAAATGAAAACTACATTTGAGATTGGCCCTGTTTACCACCCTGCACAAGCAAGCTACATATATCCATTGAAGGAGGCTTGAGCATACAGACGGAGGAACTGAGGCATTTTGGGGGGCTCATTACAATAAAATACTTCAAAGTGCCTAAAAACCTTAGGTTGAAAGAAAATAAAAAGAGAGAGGCTATGTTGGGGCACAAAGAAGTTTCGCTTTTCATAGTAAGTGAGAAGTCTAGGAAATGTGGTGATTTCTCACATTCTATTTATATGTTATTTTACTTGAGGGATGCCTCAAAGCAGTACTAGAATCACTTCTGTGCAAAAGCCGGGAGGAGGGAGGGAGGGTATGCCATCATTTATCCAGCTTGCTTTGTAAAGGTGTTTATCTTGCA